CATGCTGGAGTCAGGTAACCCCACCATGATGCCTTTTCGCCAGTAATTACATGTAAAGCTGTTCTGTTCAGGGTAGGCAAGAGAAGGTGCAAAAGTCTCTATTTCTTACTAGGAACAGCAAAGCAGTCATCTAGTTTTAGAATCAATGAGTGATTAATGACACCTAAATGTCAAATTAAATTGCTGCCTGTTAGATTGTGGATGTCAGTTTCATAGATGCTCCTCACTGTCTGTTGTTAATTCAACAGTTCCTGAACTGAAGGAGAGGATCCATGCCTGGATGAGAGAGAAACAGGGCGGGCGACTTTTCTAAGGACGGCATGTCACCAATGTCTGGCCTGCTAACCATCATTAAGGGATCTGTCCAAATTGCCCGAATTCAGCGCCACTACCAATGACAAGAAAAAACATTTGGAATGGAGAAAATAAGGAGACCTGATTTGATTTTTATTTGCATTTACCCCTTTTGTCTCAAACCATTATCATGGTTCTGAAAACAAAATATAATAAAGTTAAGACTTTTAAGTTTTTTCTCATGAGTTTGTGTGTATATATCAAAAATATATACATATATTTAACGAGAGTTAGTTAATGCATTATTATGCTGCGAGAATACGTTTTCCTCCAGAAACAGGTTTACCAGCGAGGTGCATAGTCACTTCATTGATCATTTTGCTTTACGGTTCTCATATTGTTTTGTAATACTCTGTATGTTGGCTTCATTAAAGACTTATGGTTTGATGGAGAGGGAAGGGCAATACGTTTGGGAGTGTGGGTGGGTTCTGATAAAATTACTAGCCCTGAGTGTTCTTTATCGAGACTGTGACAATGATGAACTTGAGTCCATATAATGTATGCTGGTGTCCCAGAGCTAACAGATGCACAGTTTATGCTTGTAGATGAAGTTCACTGGGAACCTGGAATATCCATTAAGGATGTAGCTTAACGTAAACTAATCCTAAATGTCAGCTTCCTTTGAGTACACTAGGATGATGAGCCGTGGTTTACCAAAATACAGTATGTTCAGTTGTTCCTCTTTAGTCACATTTTCCCCGCTGACTTCGATAGACTTCGACTTCACTTCTTGTGTGTGCATGGCCTCAAGTCCAGAACCTCCTAAGCGCCTCATGGACAAATAACCCTCTTTTAGGCGAAGTGGAAGGAACAAGAGAGAATGTAGCATGACCACCAGAAACACCATAGGAGCACACCATTAAAAGTGTGCTCTTCAGAACCACTGACATCTCACCTCAAGATATTCTCTTTCAAAATGGCACTGTACCTAACTTGACCTTGCTGACCTTAACTGTACAGGAAACTATTTCCTTTAACCACACCTGTTTTGGAAGCTAGGATTTTGAACTGAAATAAATGATGATGCACATTATTTTACAACTCGTCACCGTTATTTCCTCAGATTGATGCCTTAACCGTTTTGTTTTAGCCTTTTTGGCCCAAGTTTAGTTTTTTGACCTCATGAAAGGTTAGTTATCACACACACCTTCAAAATGTCCTAAATGTATTTCTTTAATAGGCTTTATGATATCCCACTGACAAACAAACAAACAATAAATACCGAAATTATCACTAAACTGCCAAAAATTCTAAAAATGACTAAATATAACTTGAAGGATAAACCTGCAAATCAAGGATTCACATAAGCCATCATTTCACCTTTCTGTTCAAAATTGTGATGGTTACTGATATACTTTTGTGTGTGTGCAACTCAAAGTCTGTTTTTGTTATGTGGTTTCCCAAATGCATAAGCTTAGTCATTCTTTTAATGTAATTGTTCTGAACTAATGGATTAAACTTGGCAACTGTCCTAATTTTATTGGCAATGTTTGGTGTAAAATTAGTAAACTGGAGCAGTTTATCCTGAGAAATCACAATGACCCCTTAGTCAGTGTTGAAGCAGCGTGCCTTGTTGCACACCATTAAAAACCAAACTGCAAAAAAACTATATGTAACATTACCTAAATGGAAGTGAACTGTGTCCAGCACAGAAAACTGAGCAGTGACTTGGAGGTGTGGTTTCTATTAATACTAATGTAAAGTATGCTAAAGTATTTTTGCACAATATGAAGGTAGAATGGGCCTTCATATATGGCAGATATGTGGACATATGCATTATTTAAAATTTACATTAGGATTGTAGACATTGTAAAATATGTGATAGGTACCGGTTGTTTGTTTGTTTATTTATTTATTTATTTTGGAGGGGCGAGGGGGGCACTGAGATGTAACACACTTCATTTCTCGCTAGACGGCGCTCTTTGCGGTGACCCTGGGTGTTGCGGTGACAGCGGTGCGGAGAGCGGTGGGTAGAAATCCTGCAGTGTGGCGTCACGGTTAAAGGAAAAAAAAAGGAGACCCCGCCTACTTCTGATTGCGAGGATCACCATTGGCTCCCCATCACATTAGTCACCCATATCTCTCCGTTCATTGGCTTATCGGGCTGTCAGTCAGCGTGGCCGAGAGGGAGTTGACGTAATCTCTTCGGTAAATCAAGGCGATCTATCAATTCTTCTTTTCGCTTGTGTGCAGATAGACGTCCGCCTTTTATCTTTACTGGATAATAAACTGGCCGAAGAGTCACCGGTTGCAATCCCAGCTCCATTCGGCGGAGTATACCGCTATAATGGGTGTTTATCACGAAAGTGGACTTAAAAACAGTTTTCGTGCTCGCGGATTTAGATAAAAAACAACACGTCTTGACGCCCGCTAGCTAACATTAGTCCTCGCCACTATCGTGTGGTTTTGGTGTTGCCTTGGTGAGAGTCTTCAAACGTGAGTAAAAAACGTTGAAATAATGTCTTTATTTATATTGTTAATGTTTGTAGTGCACCGGGGTTGGTATTACACATTAATTCCAGGCAGTTAGGACGCTGGTGAGCAGATGAATTAACTAACGTTAAGTCACAGTGAGAGTGTCTGGCGGTGTCTTCGGACAGGTAACTTAATTAGCTTTAACATTTTTATATTTCTATTTAATTTTGCAAAGTATATCATATAACTAGTTTACGAGCACAGTATTTGTGTATGGTTGGATTGTTATGTCTGTCAGACAGAGACCGGAGGTTGGTTAGTTCCGTCTCGTGCCTTACACTGAAGTCACAGCAGTTTCGTGGTTTAACGCTAGTTTGCAATACAAGAAAAAATATATATTTAACAGCTAAGTTACCATTTCAAACATTGCACCCATTCTGATTTAATGTTAATTCCCATAACCTCCTCATGCAGGATACATCAGGAACAATGCGTCGAGTCTGTGCTGCTAAAATAAGCATGCAACTGCTCCCTGCTCTGTTCCACAGCTCACAGCAGCGGGGGATTAGCCTACTTCCTAACATCGGCGAATTAAATAAAAGAAAAAAGAAAATTTAAGCTCTTTGTCTGCACAGAATGATCACTGTTGGATGTAACAGACAGTCCCTGCTCACTGTCCCACTGTAGCACACACCAAATAGAGTAGATAGAATTTCATGGGCGTATGCTTTAGCAAGTATGGCTGACTGCAAGGACATAGAAAAACACGAGATACTTGGGTTATGTAGTCACCGGTAGCGGGATGTATAGCTTTCAATTGACTGAAAACACATTGGAAAGTTGTGTTTATGATATAAAAAATACATGCATTGTTAATGCAGCCCCATTATTACGCCCAATATTCTTAATTTGTACTCGTCAAAAGCTTATTTCACATACACTGTGGATTTATAAAATAAATGCATCATCTTGTATCCCTTATTTGACAGTAAAGCGCCTGCTGTTTACAAAATATTAAAGCCTTCAGTGGTTTTGGTCGCCATATTTGTTGTATGCTGTTATGACTTGAAATTGAGAGGGGGTGTTTGATTTACATTTTTCTGCACTATTGCTTTCTGGCAGTTCATCTTTTTTTAAACGGGGAAACTAACACACCTCTTGGTTCATTTATTTAACACTTTTTTTTTTTTACAAAGAAGATGCAAACATTTCTTTTTCTTGTGTTTCCTTTAGGAGACAGATACAAGGTATATTACTAGAGACACTTCAAAGCCACAAACATGTCTGGGGCGTCTGTCAAAGTCGCCGTTCGGGTTCGGCCCTTCAACTCCCGGGAGATGAGCAAGGAATCAAAATGTATCATTCAGATGCAAGGCAACACTACAAGTAAGTAGCTCACTGGCATGCACATAAGGACGCACACAAAACCAAACCCTATGTCCTGAATGTATGCACGCCTGTCTGCTTAGGGTATACCACACATTCTCCCGCATGGTCTTCCATCTGGGGTCTTGAGAATAGTAGAATGAGCAAATTGAATAGTGGACGGTTGGGGACAAACAGCCTGAAAGAGAATAAAAGGCTTACAGAGTGAAATTCCTCCTCCTCTGAAGGGGCCTGCGTGCCTTAGGAGTCTCTGTGTGTGAAATGCTGAGTTGGGTCATACTGGGAGACCCAGGGGTCGCTGCACAGCCTGGCCTGCTAATGCCCCCAATTCACCCAGGCTTTATCACACGGCTGGTGTTTGAGAATGGATGTGCGAGTTACTTTGTAGTTTATGATTGTGTTATCTTTGAGTGTACACATACAGTTTGTAAAGAACTTACAGAGACGTATAAAGTGTTAATGGCCAGAAGTTCATTCAGTCATTCACAAGATGTACTGATTTTCTATTTTGCTGTAAATTGTGTGTGTGGGGTCAAAGTTACGAAGGCCTACTGACTTTAAATAAACATGAGATTAAATTCTCATCTGTTGCAGTGTCAGCAGAGTTGTCATACGGGATCAGTGATTTAAGATGGGTGTTTATAGATGCACTTAGTACGCTTCCCAAAGCTTGTATGGAGGCTCCGTTGCATCATGCTTTAGTCATTCTTGGGTTTGTGCAGGAGGTGTGAAAAATAGGTCTGTATTAATGTATTTGCATAAGTGTTGATAATGTAATAATTTAATAATTATGCACATTCAGTAGCTTTCCACGAACATATTCCATGCTTCACTGCTGTGACTGTGGAATCTTTGAGACTATATGAAAGGATAGACAATAGCAGAGCAAGAGGAGAAGGCCTGAATGTGATTTGTAGTCTTGTGATTCAACCTGCTTACTTGTGACTGTGAGTCATCAGGTACTGCGAAGTACTTGCTGCCTCCTTGCTCATGGCCGAGCTGTATGTCCCATCTCAGCTGGCAGATGAACACAGTCTCTCTGACACTAGCATGGAAACGTTTAATGACCCAGTAACAAGACAGCATGTGATGGCAGAAACCTGCTCTTCCTGAAAGCTCTCTTGTGTGCCTCAAGTTTGGTCTGTCAGTCTTACCGGGCTCATTAGACTAAGCCTTTTATGAATCTTCCATAAGATCAAGTTTCCCTACCAGTTACGGCTCACTTGCCATTTATCTCTCACACTCTACCAAAGAGAAGCTTTGTGTCAAATCCCCAGTTCTTCTACTCCATATCCTTGGGTTTTCATGATGCCAATGTCACTCAGAGGTGCTGAAGGGTGACTCGTGGTTTGTAGCAGAACTGCAGTGGAATATGCAGTGTTTTTTGGGGGGTTAGTGACTGAGTGTGTGAGCGAGGGAGAGGAGGAGGAGGCTGCAGTACTGCCTACTCTACCTCCTATCACATGGGCAGATTGCAGAGCAGAAAGGGAGGCTGGCAGGCGGCCATACTCTCCCTTCATCAGGACTTCATTGCAGATGGTATGCTGAGAATGCCGTCTTATTAGGATGCTGAGAGGGTGAACTGTACCTAGCGGCTCAAACATGCACAGGTTCATACATGCAGTTGAGAGTATTTGACGTGCAGCGCGAAAATCTGACCTTTCTGTAGTCGTGGTTCACTGGATTTCCTCACACTCTCTGTCTATCACTCTGTCCGGCAAACTCAGTCAACTTGTATTTTTAGTTGAAACAATTTAAAAGTTGTTTGTTGGATAATAGTATGTAATTATACAATTAGCCCTTATTTGACACAGTAACATGGTTGGTTTTCATGACTACCATTGGGTGTAATTTCCTAATTCTGTTAAAAAATTAAAAATAAAAACGGATGGACAAAGGCAGTGTATCTGGGACTCATCAACTGTTGGGTATCAAATACTCACCAGTAGGCTTGAAAGGTGGCTATAAATGTATGTAGTTTATTGAGTTTCATTCAGATGTATATCTGTAACTAACAATGGATTCCCATTTTGACAATTCTTCACAGCAGAAACAACATAATCCACTTTTTTTCTATTTCTGTGTTAAGGCAGTACTTAGTATGTATGTCATACATTTGCCAAAATACAGTTCAGTACCATTTTGCTTCAATCAGAATCAACACATTGCTAGCTAGCCTAACAGTGTTTGGGATAGCTGTGTGTTTCTATCATTCTATGGTGTCTTTGGTGATGGCTAACATTTAAATGGGACTGAGAGCTGCCTCACAGAAACGGGATGTTTTATGGAGTTGCTTGGTCAGCTTGTAGGTGCTTGGCTGATGTGTGGACAAGGCCTTGACACTCCCCTTATTGTTGTTTCTCACCCAAGGGCATTTGCGTCAGTCCCTGTGTGTCAACGACACAGAGAAAGAGAGCTCGGGGGCAAGGGCAGGATACGCTGTCTCCCTGTCTCTCTCTTTCGCTATGCATGGAAGGTTGTCAAGGATGGGGTGCAGGCAGAGGGGGCAGCAAATTGATTCTCCAGTGTGCAGGAAATGTGTCCAAGGCCTCTGCAGGCAGGCTGGAAGCAAGTAAAGGCCTCTTTCAGTTGAAGCTCTTGAACATACCAGAGCTAATGTAATTATGAAGGGGAGACGCCTTGGGCTGTTGTATTGGTTAGTGTTGATGCTCCAAATGTTGAATAACGCCAGGACACCCAAAGCCTGCCTTCATTAGGGCCCTGATGTGTTCTCCGTCTTGTTATGTAACCCATGTTCCCCCTCAGCCAGTTAGCAGCCACTCATGTATGGCCATAGATGGTCGGTAGATCTTGCGCAGCGCACAAAGAGAAGCATATCTGATATGTTAGAGCATTATATTGACTTTTGTGGAACAAACTTGCGTTCAGATGGATTATTTCCCATATGATGAGTCTCTTCCATTATGGGAGCTGCCCATTGTTTCGGAAAACCTAGTCAAAAGATACCAGCCTAGCCTATAGCCATGTTTTCAAGAACCAGAAGGATGTCACACAGTATCATCCCCTAAACTAATAGTAAACAAATTGACATATTCAAAGAACAAACAGAAGGCCACCATATCAATTAAACCTTCACCTTTCTGATACAATTTAGCTGAGTGTCCTCTCAAACCGAGCTAAGTGGATAGTGACCTTACAAAAACCCTACAGGGAGGAATCAGCTCAGCTCTAGTGTCAGTTACACAAAAGAGGAGACTATCACCACTGCACAAATGACAATTAACTCATCTCATACAAATGAATCGTTGTCACTGAGGAGAGAGATAGTAGGACAAGTGGGGAGAAAGATGGGGAGCCGTTGGTTTGGAGGAGGGATGGTCATCCTGCTGCTGAACCCTGTGCAGACTAGGGATGAAACGATTACCGGTTTAATGGTAAAATTCCCGACTGTTATTATTACCGTACACATTTTAATTACCATGATAACCGGGTACGGTTAACTGCGTTATTATTATGTCACTGCAAACATGGTCCAGCGTCTCTCTAGAAGCAGGGGCGCATGCGCAGAATGCAACGTCGGTTTGTTTGGGTCAATGACAACACGGCGGAAGACAACGCTGCGGAGATTTTTCAGTCACTCTGAAGTCTGGTCGTATTTTAGTTTTTATGAGAGTGCTGAGGGAAACATGATGAAATGACCATATAGTGAATGCAGGTTGAGCTGCTGTGTGTGTCATGTGTCGGCAGAGTATATTCGTTCACTGCCCATGATAACACGTAACGCTGTTTAGTCAACCAACCAGCATATCTAGAAACACTACAGACTCCCCCGCGACCCTGTACACAAGATAAGCAGTTGACGATGGATGGATGGCTACTCCTCTGTATTTATGTCAGTTTTTGGGCTCATTACAGTTACTATCACTGTCTTCTAAAGACTTATTTGTTTTCATGTAATTTTCCACGGGATCATTTTATTACCTATAAAATATAAAATGATTTTCATATGTTTACAAAAGGTATTTGCTATTATTTTATTTTTTATACAAACAAAATGTCAATTTTTAGTTTTCAATATAAAACTTGTTGAAATGGTTTCAGTGTGTGTATCAGAACATCTTTAATGTTTTTTGGCACATTTTTACAATACGGTGATAATACTGATAATTTTGGTCACTATAATGGTGATATGAAATTTTCGTACTGTTTCATCCCTAGTGCAGACAGGGCCGATTGACCTGATTAGGACCAGTAATCCGCAGGCTTGCTTCAGGTCGCCACGCCCTGCTGCCGTAATCTGTGTGACCCTTGTAGGCGTAAACATACCTTCATACACACACACACACACACACACACACACACACACACACACGACTGAGGATGTTACATTCCTCATCACCTCATGCTGAGGTTGTTTTGGAGCGACACACATTCGCCCACATGCACTACTTACAGAGCAGACTCACACATTCCAGTGTGTCCTCCTAATGAGGAGGGAGGACAGGCAGATGTCTGTGTCTGTTATTCGCTCGTGCCGTGTCATGGACTTTGAGGCCAGAGGGCCAAATTTATGTCGTGCAGCTCAACCAGTTTTCAGTGCACATATCCGTAACAGCTGTAAAACAGAAAGTGACTTGCACTGTCTTTTGCTGTTTTTTTTTTTTTTACACAAAATGATTTCATCTTTAACCTCGCTGATATTGAGTTTTATGAAATGTTTTTGTAATAACAACCAAGAAGAGACGATAATCTTATGAGTCAGAGTGTGCGAATCTCATTCACCTATCGCTGTCATATCTTCTGTGGTCGTCTTCGGTGCTGGGTAGTCAAGGCAACAGCAACTGTTTTTTTTCTTCTGCTGCAAAAACACGTTGAATGAATGAATAAAAGCTTCTCACTTCTTCTTTATACCTTCCTTTTTTCATTACATCATGTGCTCTAGTTTACTTTGGCTCGTGAAGTTCTGCCTTGCATTTCTGCCCCGATACCCCCTTAAGGTTGACGATGTGTGATGACTAAATCCTGTTATCAGAGTTTCT